AAACTCAGAGGAGTGTTTTATTAATCATTTCCCCTCCATGTGTTGTGGACAGGTTGTGGGTGGTAAGGCCGAACTGTCTGGCTCCTACAAGTCACAGAGTGATGTGGGACACTAATTGATGCTATGCCTTTCGGCCACCCTATGGCACCCCCAGAGGGAGCTAAGGGTCGTGTTAATTGTTTTCTAGACAAGTTTCTATTCTCTGAGTGCAAGGTGCTAGTGCTGCTTTTCTATAAATGAATTAAATCAACGAAAACAAATTATAAACTCTGCAGGGCTTCGTATCAAAAGCAAACATGCAAAATAGATCTGAAAGTGAAATGTTAGCTTTCCCCTAACATGAAAGTTTTCTGTTTAGTTAAATCTGTTAGAAGTCAAGCAAGAGAGGCATGTTAATATCCCTATCTATGCTGAGTGGCAAGCAGATTTTGAGAAAGTGTGAGTTGGGACCGCGGTAGTATAGAGAGGCTGCTCTGAGAGAATTCCACAGGCTGCTACAGAAGCAGTTGCTTTAGAATCCAGTCTCTGTGCGCCAGACCCTATCTGACCACCTGAGGGCACTCTTGTCCCGTCAAAGCTTCCCATACCTGCTGTGCCTGTCAGAAAGTTTCAGACGGGTTTACAGAAGCAAACCAGAGGCCAGATTAGCCTCTGTACCCACACAGGCTGGCAGGGATTTGTGCGTTTTCAGAGATTACGCGAGAATGAAATGAAACGAAATAAAAAGCAACTGTCCAAAACCAGCGACAGCAAGAAAAGTTAGTGTGACACCCAACTGCCCTCAAACGCCATTTTGGTATCTCCACATTCCCCTGGGAATCTGTGTGTTTTGTTTCCCACCTCCAGCATCCACAACCTACTCAGGACCACTTTGTCTTTATGCAGAGTTTCCTGGGATGATACTTTCCCACCGCAGCCTTGGTCAATGACATCTTAGTCCACTTGCTGCCACTAGAGCAAGATGCCTGAGACTCAGCAATTTGTAAAGAACAGAGAGGTTGACTTACTTCACAGTTCTGGAAGCTGAGAGGTCCAAGAGCCTGGTTCTGGCACCTGGTGTGGGCCTTCTTGCATTAGGCAAAGGGCATTACTCAGAAAGACAGAGCAAGGGTGCTAGAGAGAGCACACATAACAAAGACTAGCATGACGAAGCCACTGTGGAGACATAGCCTGCAATAATCCTTGAATGCATTAATCCATAAATGGCAGAGTCCTCATGGCCCAACCCCCTCCCAGTTATCCCCATTAACATATGACTTTGTGGGTTCATTTCCTACCATATAAAATTTGAGAGACACATTCGGACCAAAGCAAAGCCTGGCAGGCCAGATCGAAACTCAGATTTCTCAGCTTTTGGTCTAAGGGTCTAAGATATGAATTACCACACTCCAAAGTGCCCTGAAATGCCAGTTTGCCCTGGCTCCTTCCCCTTCCCTCCCCCTTTTTCCCTCTTTCTTTAACCTTTTCCCCTTGGAAGTCACTCTTGGAGAAATCACCATGTTAGTGTGCTTTCCATTTTTGTGGCAAGATACCCCCCCCCCAAAAAAAAATCACCTTAAATCAAAAAAGACTTATTTCTGGCTCACAGTTCTAGAGGTGTCAGTCCATGGTCCCTTGGTTCTGTTTTTTCTGTGGCTGTACTGAGGCAGAACGTCATGGTGGGAGGTATGTGGCAAAGCAAAGCTGCTCTCTTCGTCGAGGCAGGGAAAAAGAGTGGGGAGGAAGAAGGATCTAAGCACAAAATATACCCTTTAAAGGCACTCCCCCATGACCTACTTCCTCTACCTAGCCCCCACTTCCTGAAATTTTCACCACCTGTCAGTAGCTCATTTAGCTATGAATCCACCAGTGGCCTAGCCCATTGATAAGGTTAGAGCCCCTGTGATCCAATCACCTTCCAGAGAGCCCAACTCTGAGCACCACTGTAATGGGGATGGACCCGTTGACACATGGGCTCTAGGAAGACATTTTAGATCCACGCCCTAACAGTCACTGTGCATAAATCCCCACCTCCGGTCTGCATCTGGGAGCCAGATCAATAACACTGATTCACTGTTGGTGCTCACAAATGTTGATTTCATTCCCCATGACCCTCTGCCAGGTTGCTAGAGTTAACAATGGGATTTGGGAACCCATCTCACCTAGAGCAATGCCAGTGGCCCCCAACCTTTTCCTACAAGACAGTCCAGCATGCAGCAGATTCACGGGGCCTCTCTGCTGTCTGCTGTCCACTGAGCATTGGCTCAAATCAGCTCCCAGAAATCAACGTGACACCTTGTGGTACTCAGGAGCCAAAGCTTAGGCTTTGTCTGCTGATCCCTTTGTGGTGGCACTACAGTGTAAGTGAAAGTCCAGGGAAAGATCTAGAAGCTAATTTCTAGTAGTTCCTTAAATCAGTTTGGAGTCATGAGGCAGGGAAAGCTAAGGAACCAGAAGTGAGATGACAAACCATGAGTGGTGAGGGAGAGTCCGGCAAGAGGGCTGGATGGGTGCCCAGAGGCCATGACTCAAGGATTCTGTATTTGGTTGGTAGAAATCTAAAAGTTGGTATTGACACCCTTCTTTTTTTTCCAGGCTGACACTGCTTCACTCAAACAAATTAACATTCCCATGTTGACCAATTCATTTGGCTGGATAAATTCACAAGCTGAAGCAAACAGGAGGCAGATAAGGAAAGCTCACAGGGAGGAGGCAGGAGAGGTGGTGAGATAGTTAGCAGAACCACCTCATCTTTTACCCTCCAAGGTGCTGACTTCAGCGTGGTATGCGCTCGGGAAAAATGATTAAAACAATTGCTCACGGCTGACAGAAAAGTAATTTCTCCTTAGAAAAATATTTAAATCAGGAGTTGGGGAGCAATCTCTGTCTTAGTTAATAATGGGCAAGATTATATAGAGGGTCAATTATATAAAGCCTATGGATCGATAGATCATTTTCCTGATTAAATCGCTGATACACCCTGGTGTTTGTAGGTGATTCTGCTCAGAAGACATTGGAGGGCCTGAAGTTGTGTTTCAAGGGTAGAACAAGAAGTATTTGAAGCAGAAGCCATTTCTTTTGCTTATTTTGTTTTCACCATTTCCAAATAGATGAAGGTGATTGTTGAAGAAATGAGTGTCTTCCTGTTGCTTGCTCCTATTTCTTCTCTCCACTCAGAACTAAAGGGCTCACCCCCTCCAGACTGATTTAAATATATGAGTGAACATATTTACTGGTATTTCCCTGTGTTGAATTGGATCCATGAGGGCACACATGTCTCCTCAGCCAGTAAACACGAGAAGCAATAAAGGACCACATTTATCTCAGGTCAGGAGCAGGGGATGCTAATGAGAAAGACGCTCTTAACAATTACCTTCCTTCCAGGCTTATGAAATGCGCCAGGGTTTTCTAAATCTTTACTGCTGGATTTAGTCACTGCTCCTTGTGAGCAAGGAACTAGGTCACCTGTGACTCAGCTACGTTTCTGATAGACTGTGCCTTCTTGGAGGCAGTTTGGGAGTGGGAGGTGGGATGAGGGGACCCGCGATCACCCGGATGTTTCTCGGAGAGGTCGACTTTCACGGCTAATTCCGACAGCGCCTTCAGCTGCTCCATAGCCCTGGACCAACACACACAGCAAGTCTGGAAAAGCCTTGCTAGGTCTGGTTTAGAAAGGACCTTATGGATTTATAGGAACCTAAAGAACAGGTCTGTATTCTCCACACCTCATGAGGATTATGACTTCTGATTCTCTCATACAGCTTTGCATAAAGCAAAAACACCAGTCCTGACCACTTGCCCCTCAAACTGGAGGTATAGCATTGAACAAAAAGCAACGCTAATGGCTAGAGCAGTAGTATGCAGCCCAGTTATCAGGAATGATCACCCAATGCTGTCAGCAGATGACCCAGCCCTGCCTTGAGCTGCCCTTTCTTGCCATTTGGTGAATGTTTTTTTCCCAGGAAGAAACCAGAAAACAGAGTTCAAAACCCAGTAACTTGAAAATGAAGAATTCTACAGATCTACAGACCCATTATTTAGGTCAGTGTCAATAGCTTCTGCAGGATTACAGAGGTTTTACTGCAAAGGACCCCCGCCACTTCCTTGAGAGTTATCCCAAGGACAAGCACTCAAAGTGTGGCTGAAGTCAAGGGAAGTCACTGTTGGGTGGCTGTGGAACAGCAGGATGAGTTAGGGGCCACCTGCTGTTCACAGTTACTCAAGAATCTGGGAGGGTGTGAGCCATAAGGGCTTACAGCAGGAACGTAAGGGAGCCTCGGAGGGACAGGGCCCTCCTAACAGGAAACCTGGCTTGTTCTCTTTTGCTTAGACTTTTAAACATATCTTTTTGGCAGAGCATCAGCCACCTCCTGATAATGAAGGCAAAGAAGATGTATCACAGCAGCTTTTGTAAAAATATTTATCGGGCTTGAGTATGCGTGTGTGTGTCTGTGCACGCACGTGCTTGTGTATGCTCATGTTTGCATCACTGTACTGAGAAAGTGCCTTACAGACAAGGCGCCCAGACAAAGCTAGGGAGAAAATCATGAAGCACAGGTGCTCAAGAGATACTTTTAATTCACTTCAAAAAACTGTAGCTCTTCCATTCAGAAATGTTCTAAAGCCCTCTGAGTTTTAATTTAATTTCACTGTAGTTCACTGCACACGTGCTGTGTATCATGCACTGTTGGGTGATTTGATGCGCAGCATCTCATTTCATTTTACCCTCATAATTATGCCCAGTGTTACCATCCCCACTTTGTAGATGAACTGGGAAGCAAGAGGATGGTCACACAAACAACACAGCCTGAGTCATTCTTCCTCACTCATGGTGTGGAACAGTGACAAAGGGTCAAGACCAACTGTGGTCACCATGACCTGTACTCTCCTGGCTTAGACATGATGCCAGAGATGAGAATGGTCCCACACCAGGGCACACTTTTCTGGAGGGGTGGAATCTGCTGATCTCAGTCTTCAGGTGAATGCCCACAGCAGCCCATGGAGCTGTCCTGTCTTTCTAGGGGTCTCTTGGGCCATCTGTGCTTTCGGTCTCATATAAGACAACAGCCAATGAAGTTCTAAGAGTTTGAGCAGACATTGGATGGAGAGAGAAGAGGGACAATACCACCCGGCAGTCACAGCAAGTGACTAGCTGTGGACACTCCAGGAGCTCACACTCTGCAGGGACACTCCCTCTGTGAGGCTGGTTTCCCCAGGGGTGCTGCTGTTTACCCCTTGCTAGGATGGACACGCGCACCTGAAACAGTCCCACTTTGCTGAGAAGACTGGGGTTGTTTCACATGCTCACAGAGAAGTGAATTCTACACAGCTTCAGTATGCTGGGCCTTGAAGGTGTGGCCTCACTGACTCTCAGGTATGTTGGTATTCATAAAGCACTGTGGGTAGAACTGAGTCTTGGAATCCAGATCATGTTTATACCACATCACCACATTGCTAGTGGAATGATTTTTGGAATATGTCAGATAATTTCAGGCGATCCTAAAACAAAATAAATTCACAAAGTTTTATGAAGTCCAGAAATGTTACATATGTCTTTTATTTAGAAATTCAAGATGATCTGAGTCAATAACTGTGACTTTTATCTGTGCAATGCCTAGCAGGTTGTAGCAGCAGCTCATTGAGAGATGCCTATTTTCTGTGCAGCCCTAGCAGGTCCAGTGATAGTGGCTGCTACTTAACTATCCAGACCGTGTAAACATATTTATATTTAATTCTCAAAACCTAGAACAGGTGGTGGTGTTGATCCTATATACACTCAGGAATACTGAGGTGTAATGAGGCTAGAACCTTGCTCAAGGGCACAGCTGAGAAACAGCAGCTCACATTACTTCAAAGCTCCATAACACTGGGTTCTTTTATCATCACCTGACTATTCTGAGCCATCACCAAAACTACCTAGCACACTTCCCTCAAACCTGATGTCATTTTATTGCCTACAAGCAAGTGTGATTCTCCAACTCCCCTAGCATTGGGTCCATTTCTCTGCTTATAAGGTGTGATAAAAAATTACAATGAATATTTAAATTAAAGATTTAAGGCAGGCATGGTGGTGGATGCCTATAACTCCAGCACTTGGGAGGCTGAGGCAGGAAGAATACTTTGAGTTGGAGACCAGCATAGGCTACATAGTGAGTTCAAGCCAGTCTGAACTACAGAGTCAGACCCTGTCTCAAAAAAAGTGTAAGAATTGTTACAGTGAGAGACTCATTATCATCAATTTCCCTCAAAATCCTCTACCTTGCTTCAAACACACTTATCCCATCATTCACGCTAATTTCTGAAGCCATTCGGGAAGTCCTCTGTAGTGTCTATGAGTGAAGGCTGCCGTGTGCCATCCAGCGGAAAGACAGGCTTGTAAGAACTTCCCTGTGTGTCCTCATCCATCTTATCCACCAGGTCTGGCACTGTGAGACTTGTGTCTCTTCCTCAAAGTCAAAATGACCATGAAAAGTCAACATTTTGGATCAGTGCAAGCCACTGAGGCAGTCATGATGGGGCAACTAAAGTCACTCACAAAAGAGGACTTTGGAGCTGTTTCAGAGAGCAGCAAGAAAGATGGGACAGAGCAGGAAATGGTGACACATGCTTGTAATTCCAGCACTCGGGAGGCTGAGGCAGGAAGATTGCCTTGAGTTCGAGGCCAGCCTGAATTACATAGTGAGACCCTTTGTCAAAAAAAAAAAAAAAAAAAAAAAAAGAACGATGGGATAAGTGTGTTTTGAAGCGAGGGAGTGTATTTTGAGGAGAATTAGTGGCACTGTGTCTTTTACTGTAATAATTTTTCAACTGAAACACTCAGTGCATGTTCTGATCATGCCTCCTACCTCACCCTGCACCAGTAAGTTCTTGAGAGAGCTCTGCTATAGGCAAAGCCCGTCACTTATCCTCAGATAGCTCCTGAAACCTGCCCACAAGCACTGCCATGCACTGTTTTTGCTTCCACAGGTAGAAGTTCATTCTTTGATATCAGAGATAGAGGATTAAATCTCTTTTTTCTCTCCCAGGGGGAGGCAGTACAAGCTGCATCATAAAGCTTACACACTTCACAAACGGAATTAACTATCTCCTAGATTAAAGAGGAGTGGCAGCAGCTCCCCTGCTCTGCTTAATGTTGTCTAATCAATCTTTGGTCATCTGAAGGGCGGCAAGATCAGAGGCATAAAACCGGGAATGGTGAGTGGGGATCTTGAAGCTTCACACTGTATCTTGGCTGAAAGGGAACGAGCTGAGGTAGCTGAGAGTCTCTAGGAGGGAGCTGGGCCACAGGTACTCCATAGCCAGGCTATACACAGCATGAGACTTGGGCAGCAGAACAGCATGGCACATAGCTTGGAGTGTCAAGGAAGCCTACAAACACACAGGTCACAGATTTAGGGTTTTATTGGGAAGTGATTTTTTTAATGTCATCAGTTGACAACCTCTTATAGGTAATAAAATGCCAAGATTTCTCAACTGGTGAGGGTCTCAGAAGGGCTCATTGCCCCAAACCCTCACTCCACCACTGCTCAGCCCCCTTTCCCACAGGCCAGCGAGTGACTACAATATGATGCAGCACATAGGGTCCAGAACCTAGAAATCCTGCAGTACCTTTGGCCTCATCTCCCAGGTTATCTACTTTGTTGCTTTTTTAATCTTTAAAATCAGAAGTGGAGCTAAAATCCATCTCTCTCCTGTGCCAGGAATCCCCTGGAGACCTTGCTGAAAGCAGGTTCTGACTCAGGTCTATGGTGGCCTGAGATTCTGCAGCCTATCCAGCTCCCCAGGATACACTTGGCACTGACAGCCCTGCCTTCATTTTATTTTAATGCAAATTGACTCCCAGAGAATCAAACCAATCTGTGATCAGCTGTTCCTGGATGGACTGGGTCTGGTTCGTAGGAGCTGACTGGGAAGGGAAGGTGGGACTTCAGCCGCAGAGCCCAAGCATGGGTTAAGGCTAGGTCCTCAGGTCACTCAGGTGGGCCGTAAGGGTGTTTGGTGTCTCATGGGGTGACAGAGCATCTACACTGGGGGAGACCAACAAGGAAGAAACAGAAGCAGGACAAATACCATCCAACTTAATTTTTTGTTGCTATCTGGAACCTTTTTATGGAATAAAGTGAGCTGGAGTCAAAGTAACTGGCACTTTTGGATCTGGTTTGTTTTGGGTACTATTTTACTCATCTGGCTTCCATAAAAACTTGGTAAAACAATATTCACCCAAAGTCACAGTGGATACAAGTGAAAAATGACACTGCCCAAGTGTCTGACTTGCCAGGGGGGTCTTTTCTGCTTCCCTCTTCACACTGAAACCAAAAGCAAATCCCATCCCCCAGCCCCCAAGCTGTTAAAAATGTCAGGTGAAAAAGAAAAACTCAGAAATTGTGACTTTTTAGCACAGTACAGGTGTTTTAATTTCATGTAAACAAACAAAAACTCACGAGTACACCAAAAGAATGACATTAATAATACACAATCGATGCAGATTTCCAGTTAAATAGAGAAAAATTCATGGGCCCACCGGGATCTCAAAACCTGCACTTTCTCATCAGATTTATTGCTACCAGTACATCACACCTGCTGAGAGAAAATTTTCATAGAAAGAAGAAAGTAAAAGTTGAGATAGAAGTGGAGCAAAAAAGCCACAGACTTTTGATGACTTGAAGTTTGAACAACATCCAATGAGGGTTCATATTGAAAGGAGCTTAATTCATTACATGCTTATTTAATGAGGGGGCATGTTGATTGTTTAGAAGCAAAATCTTTCAATTGAAAGAATTTGTGAAATTTTTTAAAAAGAGAAATTCAAAGCCATAGTCACATCATTTATGCGTCTAAAAAACTGGTTTATTTTAATTCATAAGAGCTTCAAATTCAAATTTCAAATGTTAAACAGTAATAAAAACTACTAGAATTCTCCTTAATGAGCCAGCCCTTAACTTAGGTACATATCACTAAAAAACATTACTCCTAGAGATAAGATTTCTGACCTACCATGTAAGTATATGGAGAGTCAAAGATCTGCAAAGAATCAGTAGGTAGAAATAACTGTAATAAACCATCTTCTGTGCATATCCTCAAAGCAGAGAAAGATTCTTTAGGCTGAAAAATAACTTTGGTTTTAATTCACTTGTGTAAGCCAAATACCATCTTGCTCCAGCTGTGGAAAGACCAAGCCAGTAGAAAAAAAAGTTGAAAATCATCTTCCTACTCCCTCCAGCCCCCAGCTCCAGTTCTCCTCTAGTGTAACAAGCTCTTTTCAAAAAGCCAGAAAATAGATAAGTGCACTTTTGGCTGTTGTGGTTTTGTGTTTCTTCATTTTTGGTGTTTTCCTTTTACTTGCAGTTTAATTTCTTATTCACAGAAGAAGTCAATATCCTGAAGGAAAAAACAAAAGATGAAAAAGGATTGAACTAAGCAGTCTGGGCCAGAAAATAGCTGTAAATTCTTTATTTAAAATCACATTTAATAAAACAGAAAATTGGATTTAAAAATAAGTCAAGGTTGAACCTCAAAGAATATAAAATAATTATCACTTGAAGTAAAAAACTACTTAAAATGAAGGTCCTCAGATAAACTTTTAATTTCTGGTTATTTGACAGATCAAGCTCCATGCTCAGAAGCAATGACAAGCGAGCTGGATGTGTGTAGGCTGCGCGCTGTGTGAAGCTCAGTAATTAGCTTCCGGAGAATCACTTCAAAACAACCACCTTGCAAAGCAGCTCAGAGAAGATCTTTTATTTTTGCCAGGAGTTTACAGGACCCCAGGGCATTAGTAAGAAGATGATTTTATTTCATATATAAGTAGAAAAAAAAATAAGGCACAAAAATAAGGCAAAGCTTTTTCTAGAGTGTTTTGATCTTATCAAAAACAAGTGCTAATTTCCCCCCAACTTATAGTCTTTAAATCTGTGCAAACTCTCTGTGTCGGTTCATACTAATTTGGTTTCTTTATTTATGACGTGGACTCCCTCCAGGATAACTCCAATGTAAAACAAAAGGAGTATACTTGAAATATACTTGAAGTGTACTTTCAAGTATTCTTGAAAACAACTGTATACTTGAAATTTGCTTTAAAACACACACTCTCTCTCTCTCCCGCTCTCTCTCTCTGTTGCACACACACACACTCTCACACACACACGCAAAACTCACTCTGTGTGGTGATAGATGTTAACAAGCTTGATTATGATAATCACTTCACAGTATATGTATATGTCAAAACATCAAATTGATTCCTACTAGGCAATTATAAACCCACTAAAATCGAAAAAGTAAAGCAAAGAAATGGAATATAAAGTGGATAATAAAGTCAAAGAAAAGGGGGCATATAGAGAAAGTGCACTAATCTTTCAATACTGATAACTGGTATAAATGTGTCCCCAAATCCCACTGCCTCAGGAAATTTGCTGTGGGAAGGTGGGCACTTGCTCTACACATCCCTTAAGTTGTATGGTGCTTTTGTCATGCCAGCTTGCATCCCCCAGGATCTGAGACACTTACCGTTGTGGGGACTTCCTTGGTGGCTTCCTGGTACACATGTTGCTCCTTGACCAAGCTGCTGGGGAAATAACCCACGATTCCCATCTCGGCCTGGTGATCACCATAAACCTGAGTGCCCAGGGGAGTACAAGTCAGTGCAAAGCTCACATGAGGGTCTCTCGAGAAAGTAAGAATTGCATAACTGCCAACACCTTCCCTTCGCTCTGTGTTCCAGGGGACTCTGGGCAGAATCTGAGCTTCTCTTCCGGCGACTAAATTAACCCATGGGAGCTACATGGCTATTTTCTTGTGGCCTGGTTTGACTGGTCTCATTACTTTAGAATTGCTTTCTTTTAGGCAATCTTGTGACTTGCCTGAAATTTCTTTAGGATCCATATAAAAGAAAGTCAGTAAAAATGCTTAAAAAGTAAATAGACACTTATTTTAAAGGATGTATTTTCTTCAGTTTTTAGCAATTTATATGAACAGATGCTAGCATTCAATGCAGTTTAATCCTTTTTTGATTTCTTTAGGACCTTTCTTTGGGTTGGTAAAGGCAGTAAACCAACCTGGCTTCATCCCTCTCCAGGGCCCACTCTATCTGTTTTAACTGAAGGAAGCAGATCTTTGGAATTAAAGATGCTGCTAAAATTTCCTAAAACAATACTGAAATTTAGATTGACTGCCAACATACATACCTTTCCCTTGGCAAACTTTCTACATATTTTTGAATGAGATTCAAATGCTAGGGCATGTGCAAGCCTCAAGATGTGTATAGCCCTTTTATTTCTTGCCAAAATATCACATTAATCCACCTCTGGCTTTGCTATGAAATAATCTTTATTTCTTTAAAATGTAGTAAAAGCAAATATACCTGAACTTTTGCATTTGCATTTACAATCTCTGTATTGTTCTTACCGGCTATTTTTAAACATTACAAAGGGTTGAGGATAGGAAACTGAAGAAAAGTTAAAAGCAGCATGTGTAAAGATGTGTGCATATTTTTAATAATCTCATCTTACACTGCCAGCCCAGAATTCTCCAGCTTCGTTTTCTTTTACCAGCTTTGAGTAAATGTAGATCTGCTGCCCTTTTTTAACGTTAATGAATCTGCAGTCTGGGGCATTGTAATCTTCTTGGGCTCTAGCCAGAGAAATAGTATCTGGAAGATAAAAAAATAATAATAAATTGAAGTGACTATATTTCATACCAGTAAAAAGGCAAAGCATAAGAAAACTAGGAAGTCAGAGTGACTAATACCACCCAGGGTGCAGCTGGAGTTCAATTCAAGAAGAATTAGAGCCAAAATGCTACAGCAATGAAGAAGTGAATTCTCCACTGTCAGATACCAAACTTACAGACCACGAAACCCCATGCTGATAAAATACATATCAGAGAAGATTCACTTCAAAGTACAATTCAGTTCTATGCTGTTAGTGGATCTCTTTTCAGTTATATAATAGAAAGATAATGAAAAGCATAAAAAACTCCTTACAGACACACTCGTCATCGGCACATAGCTTCTTGGAAGCAAGTCTATCCATAAATACTCCGTGCCCTGAACATACACCCGTGAGACCCAGGAGAAAAAGCAACAATATTCTCGCCATTTTCATTCTTGCTGTTCTGACTGGCACTCTTTGACTGGAAGTGGGGACTGAGTGCAGTGGTTCCTGCCTTTTATGTGAAAGCCAGACCTCTGGGTAAACAGCCCTGACCAATGGGAAGGGTCCACTGCCCCTGCTTTCATCAGTGGGCTCCCAGACTCCGGGGGCTCCTTAGTATTGGATTTCCCAGAGACAGCCAAACTCTATGTCTTTTGCACACAAATGATACCCATAGTGGTGCATCTGGTAAGGCTAAATTAACTGTAGTTAAAAAAGAAAAATGCACGACATTCTGCTTTCAAAAATGATTTCAAACTCATCCTTTCCTTGACATGTGGCCGGAAATGGAAGATTTAAATTCCCAATTCTCATTTGCCGGTGATGAGTGGAAAGAGCAAAGGACCACAGTCCTTCTGGGTGACCTTTGTGTTGGTGGTCAAGAAAAGGCATTGGGCAATTTTGGGCCTCAATTTCCTTGTCTATAATGAAAGTATTGAATAAAACAAGCCTCCAATCAGAAGGACATTGCTGAGAAATTTGAACCATTTTTTAATTTCTAAATTTCACCCTCATATTCTTTCAATTTAAGAGCAGAGACGTGCTAATTTCAGAAATCTGTTGCACATGTGAGATCTGTACCTGTAGTACTAATCATTTTGATTTAAGAAGTCTAATTAACAAACACATGAGTTTACATAATAAGCAAAGGATTCTTATGAATACAAATTCTTTGCGAAAGGAATTTTTGAAGTTATGCTGGTCCAGGACCAGTGGTAGATTATAATATACTAGTTGGTGGCACATTTTTACCCCACCAATGGAGAAAGAAAAATAGGGGTGGGTTGGGAAGAATGGGTCAAATCCTTTCTTTACCTCTGTGTTGGTTAGTTTTCCATCGCTATGACAGATACTTGCACAGGGAAAGTTATTCATGGATTTGGAAGGTTCAGTCCACAGTCAGTTAGTTCCACTACTTATGCCCATAGTGAGCACATCATGGTGGGAGTGTGCAGTGGAGGAAACCTGCTTACCTCATGCGTGGGAAGCAGAGGAGGAGGAAGACAAGGAGGAGGAGGAGAAAGGGACCAGGCAGAGTCCTGAAGTCCCTGGCCAGGGCACACAGCTCATGACCTAAAGGTCTGTCACTGGGCCCTTATCCCTAAGAGGCTCCACCAACCCATAGTGCCACTCTAAGGGCCAAGACTTTAGCACACAGGTACATATTGGAGATCCAAGTTACAGCAACCTCTTCTTAGATGTGCAAAAATTAGGCTCAAAATGGTCATGGTCATGGGTCATTGAGAAGCAGATAGTGTTAGAGGTTCATGTTACCTTCTTTTCTGTGCTTCTGGACCTGTTTCCCATGAAAAGAGACTAGTAGTAGCACCATCTATTCAACAATATTTACTGAGCACCTACTGTGTGCAGTTCTCAGCACTAGAGATACAGCAGTGACTTTTAAAAGGTTTTGACCCCATCTTTTATGTTTTATTAGGAGAAACAGACAGTTGCTGCTTTTTACAGAGTATCCAGGGCTGGCTTTTCTCTGATGAGGTGGACGTGCATGCCCACCCCACCATTTCTCAAGCAGAGATTCCTGTCAATGCCCTCTCCAACTCCATTGATGGTGTGGTTTCAGAGTAATACTTCCTCCCTGCACCCCCAAGGGTAGTCACCGCACAAAATAAGCAATGGACAAGAGTTCAAATTAATTAGTACCAAATACTTTCTAAGGGATTAATTGGTAAAGCAAAATATGCTCATAGTATAATAAAAAGGCTTTGTTGTTTGGGGCATGTGTATGCATGTGTATGATTAAGCGCATGCAATAACAAATTGTGCTGCTATAAACATGGGTGCACACATATTGCTGTGGTATGATATCTTTAATTCTTCTGGGAAAATACCCAGAAGGGGAATAGTTGGGTTAAATGGGACTTCCAATCCTAGTTTTGTGAGGAATCTCCAAATTGATTTCCACAGTGGTTTCACCAATCTATATTTCCACCAGCAGTGGAATAGGGTTCCTTTCTCCCCACAGCCTCTCCAGCATTTGTTATGTTATGGCAAAAATTCGGGCTGTATTCCGCAAGAGACCAAAGAGAAGAGACAAAGTTTTAATTTAGACCAGTCACCTCTCATCCCGACGTGCAAGTCCGGGAAGTGGGCGTGGACCTGTCTTTGTTCCCAGGTTATATACATTTTTGGTTTCCATGGTAACAGAAAGGAATGTTGTAGCCCTGGCCACATGTTGTTTTCCTTGTGCCATGTAACTGGGTCAGGCTCCGGTCATGAGCCCAACCACAATGATATATACTTTCTGTACTCTGTTCTATATGTCCCCTTTAGATAACCATACATTTCCTTTATGGTTACAATGTTTACCTAGGGCCAGGAGATGGAGCTGCCCAGGCAGGGTCATGGAGGGTTACCTAGGCCTAGGCGCCCCCTTATCTTGGGGAGACATTCCTGGGTAGTGTTGATCTGGGGAATTAGCTCTTACACTGTCCTGGGAGGCTTCCCAAGGCGCCATGTAGGCTTTTACCAAAACTATTTTATCTAAAATAATATGCTAAGATTCATTGTCCCCTACAGTTACTGGTTGATTTCTTGATGATAGCCATTCTTTCTGGGGTGAGATGGAATCTCAGTGTTGTTTTAATTTGCATTTCTCGAATGACTAATGATGCTGAACATTTTTTTTATGTATTTATTCTCCATTAGTATCTCTTCATTAGAGAAGTGTGTATTCATCTCAGATGCCCACTTTTGGATTGGGTCTTTGAATTTTGGAGGGCTGATTTTTTTTAATTCTGTATATGCCGTGGAGAGAAGTCCTTTGTCTGAGGGGCAGTTGGCTAAAATTTGTTATAGCTAAACCTTGGAAACAACCCAGATGCCCACACACTGAGGAATGGATAAAAAAGGTGGGGTATTTTTGTACAATGGAGTATTACTCAGCTATTAAAAAAGATAATCTCGAGGCTTTTATAGGTAAATGGATGCAACTAGAGACCATACTCATAAGTGAAATAAATCAGACCCAGATGGATAAACACCATATTGTCTCCTTGGTTAGGAACCTGAAAGACTAGGTAAAACTCAAAATGTACAATAGATGATAGGAAAGGGCAAGAAATTGCTCAAAGGAAGGAATGACTGGGATGAGGGAAAGAAGAAAAAAGAAAGAAGGAACACAAAATATAAATTATAGATGAATAGCTGCAATAGCTGTATTGCTGATGTCTGATAGAGTATTGAAATGAACAGTTAATGATTATAATTTTTTATGTTCTGATCAATTGTGCATGCTTGTGTTTGGTGGTCTGAGCAACTGATTTGAAGGTAACAATATGCAATGGAATCACAATGGTGAACTAAAAAAAAATGATTAAGTGCATGCAGTAGAGTTTTACTGTTTGTACATAAAAGGGATTTGGTGTGTGTGCGTGCATGCATCTGTGCTGTGTTTAGAGGAGGATCTTTTAAACAGTTGACCCTGACTTGGACGCTTGTTTTATTCAATACTTTCATTATAGACAAGGAAACTGAGGCACATAATTGCCCAATGCCTTTTCTTGACCACCTGACACAAAGGTCACCCAGAGGGATTGTAGTCCTTTGCTCTTCCCACTCATTGCTGTCAAATGAGAGTTGGGAGTTTAAATCTTCCATTCCACGCCACGTCAAGGAAAGGATAAGTCTGAAATCGTTTCTGAAAGTAGAATGTTGTGCTTTTTTTTTTTTTTTTTTTTTTGCTATAATCTAGGGGGCTAAAAGCATCTCTGGGAAAACTAAAGCACAGGCTAAATCTTCATCATGCTCGGGCAGCTGTTTCAGAGGGCTGCTGTGGTCTCCAGCCAATCCTCTACACGGGAGAGCTAAAAGACAATTGCCATCCAAGAGATACTTTAAGAAATGGAGACTGCATAAACTTGGATTGCCATGCTGTGTTCAGGCCCCCCAGGGCAGAGTAAAATGGTGAAGGAAGCCACATTTCAGCCATTACAACTGAATAAAGAAGGCTAAGGCTCATGTGAAGCTTTCATTGGTCTTTTGAAGATGAAGAAATAAGGAAACGATGCCAACATTGTAGGTGCACCCTCGGGAAGCCTGGGATACACTGGCATCTGCACTGGGCAGAGATAGAGGGAGACTAGAGATTGCTGGAAAGTCTAGCTAGCAAATAGGAACATGAACTTGCAGGAATGTGCCTAATGCTCCAAGCACGGCAGTCACTGAGGGTCCAACCTGGGCTCTTTCAGCTTCCTCCTTCTGGATTTCAGATACATTCTTCAAACCTAGTTTGTGGTTCTTAAAAAGGAGGCTCTGGCTCTGTTAGCATCTCAGGGGAGGCTCCAGTAATCAGAGGGGCAGAAGCAGCCTCCTGGCTGTGGCCTCCTCTGTCCTCTAGGACCTGGCCCCTCTGCCTCATAGACTTCTCCCTTCTCTTCCTCCTGGACTCTTCCTGTCAAGCTGGTTGATCTCTGGCTTTTGAAAACACAATCCCCAACACCCACAACTTAACCCTGCCAAGGTAATGGGTCTGATGCTACCCCTCAACAATATGTACAAAGAATTTGTTTGCCCTCTCAGGTCATCTGTAACCTCTGAAGAGGTAAAGAAGTTTAAATTGGCTCATGGTTCAGGGAATTCAGCTCATGGTCAGTTGGCCCCCCAAGGCAGAAACTCCATGGTGGAAGGACATGGAGAGCAAAGCTACTCACCTCATGGAAGCCAAGAAGCAGAGAGAAGGAAGGAACTGGAGAGAGTAAACCCTTTCAGGTCACATCCCCAGTGACCAAACTCCAAACAAGACTCGCCTCCTAACAACACGTCCAGCCATTACTCAGCCATGAATGAACCTACTGAGTATAGCACCCCCATGATCCAGTCACCTTCCACAAGCCCCACCTTTACATATAGGAGACTTCTGAGGGACATTTTAGATCTAAACTCTACCCTCAGATACGGACATTCAGGTTTCTGGCCAAGATGCCCCCCGAGACACATGACCTAACACACGCACTCCATTTGGTCCGCCAACCCACAGCCTATCTTCCCAGCCTTGGTACAGTCCTGCAGCAAGTCTATCTGACATGCCTGGTTTATCTACTCAGTGCTGGTTTGTCTACAAACTACCAACTACAATGAAAGCTCTACAACACAGAGGCCTGTTCATCATTCTAGCATGCAGAAAAATACTTAGCACAAAACTGAGTGTATGATCCTTTTGAAAGTGTACACTTCAGTACGTACATATACAGATGTACTTTTACCCAGAGTGGAAAGTCCCTAGCTTCTATCAGATGTAGAAAGATGTTCTTAACACCTCCAAAGTAAGACTCACTAAATAACTGCCACCAAGATGTGGTCCCTAAACCTTAAGTTTGGCATCAGTTTTTTGAACTAGTGTTAGACTTCACCCGAGAGGCTAAATCTGAATCTATACCTTAACAGGATACCCATGTGACTCACATGTGCTGAAGTTTACAACGTGCTATTTCTGGGCAAAGCAAATAGAGAAAAGAAAATGTAGTCAGTGCTTCACCATTTTCATTAGGTTGCCAATGGGTACATCTTCAAGGACGAAAGTATTTCTTAAATAGGTAAACAGAAAACACTATAAGCCTGAAGGAGGGATGCAAACTTCTTGTAAATTTTAGTTGTACACTATTTTCTATTTATCAGTGTGCTGCCTTTGAAAAAATTACCACTTGAACTAATCACCTTATTGTAACCTTCACAAAGGTAGAAGTCTGCTTTGTTAATTCTTAACCTTGACTCATATTGGAATCACGCTCAGAACTTAAAAAATACTGATGATTGAGTTTCACTCTTAGTGATTTAATTGATCTAAGATACAGATGGGGCACAAGAAGTCAAAAATGCCTCTCAGGTGATTCTAACACGCAAAGTTGAGATACATTGTATAGATAACCTAACTATAGTACTTTCTCCAGTCATTCTCAAAGACAGGTAGGTTAGGAAAACTAAAATATCCTGATTTGATCAAATCATTTCCCTTCTTCCTTCTTAAAGCCAAACTTTCTACTGTAGTTACCTATGAGAGTTCTCAGCAAAAAATGTAATACGCTGAGGTTAACAGATCTAGTGTGGAAGGGAGTTACAGCCCAGGAAAGGGGGAAACTAGAATACACTCGGGGCTGTTGAACTACAGCCTGAGGCATTGTTGTAAATTCATAGTTTTTACATAATTATATAGATTTATCCATGGATGGATGCAGAGTTTCTGTCTATATGAAATTGAGGACAGACTGAGGAAACTCAGGAGACATGACTACACATAATACAATCCTAGATTGGATTCTTGGGCTCTTGGCAAAGTCTTAATTTTGCTACATGGGATTAATATTAAATTTCTCATTTTGATAGAGTGGTTATGAGAATAGTCTTTTACATAACTACCCAGGGACATACTGAGAGGCGATATGCAATCAGGTCAACAGTCTCGAGTGGCTCAGGAATGTTAACAATTGGTAATCCCAAGTGTCTCTGGGGATTCTGTGTACTAGTTCACAAATAAAAATGAGAAATTGTATCTAAACTGAAAAAATTAAAAAGCACATGAGATGTTACTCCTCTGCTCAAAATCTAACAATGCACAGCCACACAGACCAGAATAAGAATGTTCGTATGTCCACTGTCACTTTATTCATAAAGGGCCCAAATGGAAGGAACACAAATGCCCACCTGCTGGTGCAGGGAACCCAACCCCATCAGTCTGAAAGGCAGCCCAGATGGGCCCAACTACCTTAACAGAAAGCAGAGTGGGTGCCTGGGGCTGACGGGACAGGGAATCATTTCACTGCACAGGGACACAAGGAAACTCCTTAGGGTGATGGAAAGCTCTTTATCTTGATGATTACATGACTACACGATTGCCCAAACTCATCAAATGGGCACTAAAACAGGTGAAGTTTACTGTTTGTAAATAATCCAATTTTTACAGTTCTCTAAAATAGTTCTCAATTGCACCAAGAATCCAAGTCCTTAAAAAGGCTAATCCTCACACCATTCTGGCCACGCTGGCCTTTCGCTAATACAGCCACTTGAAAACGGCCCACAGCTCAGGATCTGAGACAAGCAGTAACTGAGAGAGTAAGCAAAACATTTATCATCCCAGAGTAATTCAGTTACCAAAGTACACGAGCTTGGCAACTGGGTCAAAAAGTTATTCAGAAGAGGCAATCTCCAAATGTGGCAGTTTCAGGAATAAAAAATTTTGCTTTTAATGTATCTGCAAAAGTGATGCAATAACAACCTGTTTACCTAATTCTAAAAGTAATCTTTCTGTAAGTATATAATAAGAGTAAATTTTGTTCAAGGAAATACTAAAACACAAATGCCAAAGAATATTTAGTATGTACCATACCTGCAAAAACTTGTCCATTTCTAAAGATCCCCAAGGTGTTAAAGCAGGAAGAATTGAGTCTTAAATATAAATCAAATTGCTAAAGGACCTTTGCAAGTATCCGAACGTTGGTGTTTAAGAATTGCAAAAAGGCAGCAAGATTAGCACTGGCAATCAGTCTACCTGTCCTAAAAAGGATTACAGATTAAGGCTTCCCCTTGGGGGTCTTTCAATAATGAAGTCTGATACTAACCAAGCAGTACTCCTTAGAAATAGTATCACCTCAAAAGGAAAGAATAAAATGCAAAATTTAAAGATAGTTGATGCTTTTCTTCTGTTTTCTTAGAAAGCAGTAAATATAATTACTCTTAAATAACCTTTGCTAAATACTGAATGAAAGGCTCATGAAATCACCTCTAGCAAAGTACAATGTTCATTTTCTTGAAGGATAAAAAGATCAAATTTAGATCTTGTTCAGGTTTCATTTTCTCCAATACCCAGTATGATCTGTTTTAAACATTAATACAATAGTCTCTTTAATCTTTGTTAAAATGGCTAGTGTCACTCTATCACTAGCTACTCTAAAGTAACTGAAAAATATTGTCTTATAGTTTTATATGCTTAAGATGTGTTCTAGACTAGAATAGGCACTTCATGACAGGGTAATGGGCAATAAGCAAAACATTATATATCCAGAATACAAATCAAAGTTTATTGTACAAAATTAAGGCATTCATATTACACTTCACTAAGGCTAAAGAAAAACTAGACGATTGAAGTCTTTCACAAAAATTTCACTTTTACTTCGCGTCTACCTCCACCCATTAAAATGGCCTGACCAAATGTTACCAAAACAAACACCATAAATAACACAAGTCTCTTCAAGATGCCCATCCCGAGGTTATTTCTTGGCATAGGTGATCTTCATTGCATGGGATGGTGTGATCTTAAACCCTTGTAGTGCATCCCTGGCAGCTCCAGCCTGCCCATCATTTTCAAATTCCACAAAAGCAATGTCATGCCTTCCAGGTACCAGACGTACTTCCTTAAAACCAGGGAACCTGCAAGGAACACAAACAATTCATATGTACACAGACATGCATAAATGTCTGCTTCGTGTTTGTATTTGTAAGCACCTTCCTCATACTAGTTTAGGAAACGCAATCATACACTACCAAGCATCTTGACTAAGATGGAAGAGTCTAAATGCTAATTAACACCGTGAAAGAACTAAAAATATCTATGCTGATTCTATTTTTGTCATTATATTAAAGCTCTGATTCCTGTTTCACTCACTAGTTAGAACTAAAAATTCAAACATCAGAGAATATTTAGCTTTCTGTTTGCTAAATCTGCAGATTGGCTTCAATCTTTGATTAATCCCAGGCCAAATCAATGAACCCATAAGGAATGACTGCTGTGGGATAACAAATGGCTTTGGCTCATGGAAGTGCTGAGTGTCCTGTTGGAGGAAGACCAGAAAAGGCCTTGTTTGTAAATTGACTTACTGATTAAACAGCATGGATAACATCATCTCATTAGTCTCTTCTGGTAAATTATTAAGGAATAAAATATAGTTTGGAGGGTAATCAGGGACCTATCCAAAAAAAAAAAAAAAAAGGGCAAAGTTAGCTTATACAAGTAAACAGCACTGTCATTCACTTCCTACATTAAAACCTGAACCTCAGTTATATTCCAGTTTATATAAGCTTGTGAAATCTTATGACAACGAACACTAACACTGAAAAACAATGACATTAAGAAATAAATATAAACCTAACAGCAATTAAGTGAAGATGTTCAAGTCACAACAATGCAAATTTCGAAGATTGCAATCTTAAAGATTTTAGGTATTTAAGTAACAGTATGTAAAACAGTATTTATGCTTTAAGCATGTCAATTTAAGAGGTCAATTGTAATTGGAGAATTCTGTCATGAAGAATACATAATTAAAAGAATCTAATAAAACTGGAGAAGGCAGGAATGTTACCCGTCCTCAGCTGGATACCCCACTCAGGTAACACTCGGTAGTCAATTCCTCTGCACTACTGTTTACTGCCACTCCACACGAAACTGTAAAGTTACTACTGAGAATCACCACTTGGTGCCTAGGGTGGGGGTGCGAATAACATGTGCACAGCACCCAGTTTTATCTGAAACAAGCACGTTATCAGATATTGAACTATCTGATGCCCCACCCTAAGTTATGAGGAACTATAGGGAAAGGGCCCTACATACAAAGGGAGTCCCCGTCTTCAGGATACTTTCATGGAGAGAAGAGATCAAGTATAAAAAAACGAGCAAATAACCCAAGGCTTGGAGAATTAAGTGTTGGCATTTGTGGAATGACTATAAATGCAAAGAACAGAAGCAGAAAAAACAAAATGCAAGTAACTTGAAGTCAGAGGAAAAAAATCTTAGTGGACAAAGAAGTCTCTAGATTTATGGATCTTGCCAGACCCTTAACATTTCAGGAACCAAGTATGAAACCATGAGTACAAAACTCAGCTCTTCGCTTTGAAGCACCTAGTGGGAGATCTGGCAAGGATTTTCTAAAACAAAAGAGACTTAAAATATAAGGCTAAGATGTATTTGTGCTAAGGAAGTAAGAACAAGGCTAACTCAAACACTGTTCCCATAGGGGGAGTGCTGCCAGGATCAAAAGGAAGAGACGAGCTCGTGGCCTCACCGGTCATCTGTGCCGCAAGAGTATAAAGCCCTGGCTACACACTAAAGAAACACGCTTGCTCCCAGCCCTTGGAGATTTATACCTGCCATACAATTCTGTCACTGATTCATTATGGGACACAAGGAATACTGTTGTTTTTTACCTCTTAAAATTTAAGATGTTGTGAAAAGTAAGCTTCTAACATTAAAGTGGTATAAAATTTTACATATGATTTCTTATAGACGCAACAATTTTGGTTTAAAAACATACGAGTTGCTCTGTACTACTGTCATAATTCTTGTAATTTTATTTTAAAGTAAACACCACATGGAAAAATATTACCTGAGGATTTGGTGCTGCATTTCCTTGGGTATTAGCTGTAGATGTTCCCTAAATAAAGAAATACGGAAACAATTAAAATTTCCAATACCTCTAAAAAGGCAACAGGTATTTATAACCACTGCATAAAAATAACATTTCCAGACTTTTAAACTCCACTTAATTTTAAGAACTTACAACTTAACATTGATTTAAAATTATGTATTCAATTGGTCAATGATTTCTGAAAAGCCCATCCCTAAATTTTAAAAGACCGTACCAGAAAATTTAACACCTATGCTTTAAAATGGAGAATACATAAGAAAAACAAGGACCAATTTTATTTTTTAAAAAACTGCATACCGGCACTCAGGAGGCTGAGGCAGGAGGATCCTTGCAAGTTCGAGACTAGCCTGGGCTACAAAGTGAGCTCAAGGCCAGCCTGAACCACATAGCGAGACCCTGTCTCAAAAAACACAAAAACAAAACAAAAACAAAAAAACCCCTGTATATACACATACTAAGTGAAAATGATTTCTAATCACTTTAATCCAGAAGTAACTACTTTTTGGGTGACAATTTACTTTTACCTCATATTTCAAATTAGATTTTGTATCCCTGAATTACTGAAAGCAGCTCTGAGTGGATTGTTCATGATAAAGACAGTATTTACAATACTATATCTAGGCAGAACTTAAATAAGCCAATAGATATTAACATATTTTGGAAAAAGATGGAATTAAATGTTATGCAAATTTTAAAAACCTTCTATACATCTCCATATATAAATGTCTATATTTTATTTTGTTGCTTAAATATAAATACTGGAATTTTAGAACTTGGTCATTCCAACCTTTAAGAACTTCACCTTTTAAACACACATGTATCACAAATACATGCCTCAAAGATCATCCCCTGCACGTATGACAAGCACCCAAAAATATGAACTTTATCTGTCTCACCTGGCCAGGCTTTTTGTTTGCAGTGGTTGCAGTCTGTTCCACAGTTTTGGCTTTTTTCTTTTCTTTTTTCTTTTCCTTGTCAGCAAAAGTGCCACGCATTTTAGATATTATATCAGAATCGGTTTTTGCATACTGGATTCGCTGTTTTAATTATTTGAAAACAGGTTACTTCTCATCAAGCTGATGGCTGTTCAATGCAGCCATTGTTTCAAATTCCACTGGACAACTATACTACAAGCTCATTTTAAACACACTTCCTAAGGAAATGGTCAAAATACACTGAATGCCAGATGGAAATAAATTGTGGCCTATGATGTACAACTAAGAGTTCGATTCAACTACATTTATTAAAAGAAAAGCCAACTGTTTTCAAGTTGGGAAAACAAGACTGATATACCCGCCCCACTGCTTCTCTCCATTAGTAACAGGAAACCACACTGGAAAGTGTCTACCTCTTAGCAGCACGCCTCGGCAGGAGGTTCAACATGTGTTATCAGCTGCAGAATGCGCCACATGGAATTGTTACTCTCAGTGCTTAATGCACTCAGGACTGGGAACAGCTTTCCTTTGAATCCATCATTTTTAAATGAAATGACTTTAATAGCAACAGCAATTTAAATTTATAATGTTTTGAAAGGCAACAAAGGACAGCATCACAGTTTGTGCAGCTGGGCCACTCAGACTTTTACTATGCCAGAGCCAGCAGAAAAGGGAGGCACCTGTGAGACAGGGAAGTATTCAAATACACTGGTCCAGCAGGGCTTTCCGTCAGCTGTAACAAGCAATCCAGCAGCCTACACAACTTGTCAAAGTGCAGGTGTGGGGAGTCCTGAGATTCGGTGCTTTCAAACAGTACAAAGGGGCCAGGCTAAGGGCCTAGGACCAACTCTGCGTAGTACAGCCCTGGCCTAAAGCATCATCGCACAGCTACGGTCAATACCAGTGAGCTTTCCAAATATTTTGGCCAATGACTTAAACTGTTTTCTAAGGTGTGACTATGTGCAGACTGCAACTTCCACCTTAAGCCAATAGCAGGAAAAGTAACTACTTTTCCGATTACATCAAAACACAGTAGCCCTACAAATTACTATCTAAAATTGCCCCTTTGTAGCAAGAATTTGATCTCAATCTTGAGGCAAAAAGGCACTTTAAAGGAGTATACATCAGAAGGCAGGGGATGAGTTAAAACCAAGAGCAGTTCTTCCTTCCCTCTGCTTCAGCTGGAGATGAATACAGTGGAGAAACAGTGAAGCAGGCCCTGCTACACCGTCCAACCTCAGGCCATTTCTGCAGGGGCCGGGCTGCTGAGCCACCACTGCGGCCGCTCTCCCTGGGCTTCCCCGCCAGCAGCTCTAACAGTCTCACCTGGCACCAAGGTCTAACCCAAGCAAGCAGGTTGATGGTTTGGATGGAGTCTGCCTTGGCTACAGCTTCCTGATAACTCCAACCTCGTCCCTGACCTGAACAGACCTTGGTGACCTGATTTGTCCATCTTTGTGAAACAAAGTCTCCTGTGAAAGTATCTGCTTTCAGCTACACTCCTAGCTGGCTGGTCTAAGGTAGGGGTTTTCAACCAGAGGTGATATTTTCTGGCCCATGGACGGTTGGCACTATCTGCAGACACTGCTGGTTGCCATATCTCTGGCATGCAGTGGCTGGAGGCCAAGGATGCTGCTAGCACCCTACAATGCACAGCAAAATGCCCCCCGACCCAAGGCGTGTGGTTTAAAATGTCTGAAGAGGCGCTGCTGAAAAACCTTGAAGACCACATACCCATAAATGATAAAAGTTCACCCACAACTTAAAGATACAAAAGGACAAGATTTACATTTATACCAAAGGTTTCATGATAGAAGCCCTTAGGAAGATGGTTTTACTTTACTGAGGTATTTTTGAAATTAAACACAGACAATCTGTTCTCAGTTATAAGTTAGAGCAAATTTTGTTCATTTATGATCTGGTATGTTAGAGTTAGAAGAGCAACTAAAATCACTTAAATAAACTGGACCTGACGGCATATGCCTATAATCCCAGCACTCTGGGAAGCTGAGGCAGGAGGATGGAAAGTTCAAGCCTGGCCTGGACAGGCCAGTGTCCTTAGCAGGACTCTGTATCAAAATAAAACCTAAGAAGATGCAAAAATCAGGTCACTAAAAAGGGGTGAACACATGGCTCAGTGCAAAGGCCCCAGAAAAAGCACTTAATTAACAAGACAAAAGAGCTCAAACAAACAAGACAGCTCAAAGAATTTTATTCCATATAGAATCAGGCCAACGGGATTTTTCCACTAATAATTAGTTAGCAAGGTGAGGCTGGTGACAAACACAGCAAACTCTTTCCACCGATCCTGTACCCAAGTTACCAGGCACATGCAAACTTATCACCTCAACTCAGCAAGACTGCCCAAAAGGCAATCTTAGACTTCTGCCAACTGAGATCTCATCTATGCTGTTTCTTCAGACTACTAAGATCAGGTAGTTTCAAGAAACCCCACCTTACTGAAACTCAGGGTCAAAGATGGTATAAAATGGGGGTCCCCAAATGCCTGCCTGTGGCCAACTCTGTTTTTCTTAAGTTCAGTCTTGTGTCACAGCCACATCTTCCTCATTCACATCCCACCATAAAGACAGCAGAATAAATGGTTCCCATAGAGATCATCCAGCTAGCATAGCTTACATCTACTATCTGCACAGTTCCCTGACTGCTAGTACAGGGGAAAACATTTACAATACTAGATGTTACGTGGTTATTTTCAAGTCCCAATGCTGTCACTGGTTATAGTAATACAACTTGGATGAACAATTAACCTTCCTGCTTCTGATTCTTTATCATCAAAATAAAAGCATTAGACCAATGGTTTCTACTACATCCTGAAGGCCAAATCCAGCCTGTGGCCTATTTTTGTGTGGCCTTCAAGTTAATTTTTTAAATACAATTTTAAAAGTTAAAAAAAATACACAGTATACATAAACCAATTGTATGTAACCCACAAAGCCTAAAATAGTTCTCACGTTGTCCTTTAGTTTGTGCTGACGGCTGAATTAGATCAAAGGCTATCCAACCTGCTGACACTTTAGAGGTGGTGAAACTGACCACAGGCACAGAGCCTGTCAGTGGAATTAGAATGAGGATCCATGGATCTTCTGAATCCTGGGCTTTGGCTCTAAGACCACTTCACACCACATTCTAGTCCCAGAAGACAAGCAGTTTGGAATCCATACCAAAGTCCATACTCACACAAGTAGGACTTCAACTGTACGCTATCCAGTCCTCTGCCACCTCTCACTTATACCAGTCCCCTCTGGCAGCAGCTAGATATGGATGTCATCTTTTTTCCTGAGTTTACAATTCCTCATGTGTGTCTAATTCATTTCCATTCAAGGCACTCACAAACATGCACATTAAGCCTATTTTTCCTTAGATCATTACTTTACCTTGACTGTCTAGCTTCTGATATGTAGTATTTCCCCATAGATTTGCTAAAACTTCAGCCCAGATTTGCTTCTCGACCCAGGATTTTTGATTTTTATGTTGTTTTGTAAGTTTACAAAGCTTTATAAGGTTTCTGTATTCATGTTCTGTGCTATTCTATTTTTTTTAAAGAATATCACATGTGCAGCCATCATGATTTTAAAAATGTTGTATGTCTCAATATACTTTGGTTCCACCATTTAAACCGGTGTAAATTAAAAATGCATTCAACTTTATTAGTGTATTTCTATGAGAATACATACGTAACGCTTCCTAACACATACTTAAAAGCAGAAAGCAATACATTCTGTATTTATGAATTAACTATATCTTAACAGTAATTAAAGTGAACATAATAGCATGAACTCACCATTGGTTTACCATAAAATGGGAATCCTTGCAACTGTCTCAAGGCATTTGTAGATGAGCCCAGTTCTTTAAATATTACAAAGGCCTGGCCTCGCATCTTCATGGTCTTTAAAGCCACAATATCTACCACATGCCCAAACTGAGAAAACAGCGCATACAGGGATCGCTTCAATTCTGTTCAGAGAGGAAAAACAACTTATTTGAGAATGAAATAACAAAGTTCTTCACAGGGGCTGGGGATTTAGCTCAGCAGCAAAGCGCCTGCCTGGCAAGTGCAAGGTCGTGAGTTCAGTTCCCGGTACCGGAGAAAAAAACCAAAAAAAAAAAAAAAAAAAAAATTCTTCACAAATGACACTGCACTGAATGTTCCCCACCCCTCAATTATACTGTTATTTGTTTTAATAAAAACACGTAATATTCCCATTAAGTTATCTGAAACCATTATGAGTAAAAACAGATCAGTCTCTACTTCTTTTTACTTTTAAAAAGCTTTAAAATCCTTATACCAAATGGAATGAAAAGGACAACCGCATAAAAAGTTGTGGAGTAGTATCGTTCTGTAGACAATAGTAAAAGAACATTTTAGAGGTGAACAATTATTTTAAAAAGCACGTACCTTCTTTTTTAATTTTATCATTCATATTGTTGATATAAATTGTATGATTTGGTCTGATATCCATGTCTGGGTAACAGAAACTGTATGCAGCCACGAAGTATGATTATTTTCTTCAAATAACCTGAACAGAAAAAAAGTAATGTTATTAACAGTAAGGGTTAAATCATACTGGAATATGGCATAAAGATATGAGTTATTAATTTTTCGTAATTCTTTCAATCCCAAATGTCAGAAAGCATCAGCTGCCAGTAACTTTAATTCCTCCCTAGCATGTGCTAACCCTCTTTTTTAGATCTCAGGCTCAAAACTAGGTAGAACACCAGCCAGTATATAGACAGATTTTAGTAGTATCAATACATCTGAGGTATAAAAACCTTTACACTTGCTTTTCAGTTATGACAAATGATACTGTCTTTCCATTTGTGCAGGGTACTTCATGGGTACACTTACCAAGCACTTTCACATCTATTTCTTAATTTGTATGTATTATCACCAAGGCTGTGTGATGGTTAGGAGCTCAGATTGTAGTATCAACCAGATCTGAATTCAAACCCTGTCTATGCTCCTTAGAAGTCACCTCACTGAAGGCCAGTTCCTTAGTATCTCAGGTCCTCTAGGGAATAGTAACAGCACCTACCCAGTATAACTCAGAAGATTTATGAGAAAGGCCTAACAGTTCTTGCACGATCAATAAGCACCGAAGGTGGCTATGATGAATGGTTAGTCCAAGTTAAGGGACTTGTCTAAGGACACAGCCAGTAAGCTGTGGGCCTGAGAATTCAGCCCTCGAATTTTCTCCTGCACGTTTCTCACACTCACTGAACTATTTCATTTTCATATTTTAGAGTTTTGAATTCGTATTTAGATTGAACCTTTCATATTTTACATCTTTTTTTTGCTGTAAATTGGTTTTGCTTATTCCCTTGGTGCCTCACCTATTCCTCTAGCTCACAAATACAATGCACTCACTGCTCGAGCCTACTGAACGGCCTGCGCTTGTATGAATATCATGAAAGGTAATGCTTCCGGAAGGTTTGTAAACTCCTAAACTGAAACCTGGAGAAGGGCTGGGGTCACGAAGCAGACAGCTCGAAGGAAGTGACAGATCTGAGACGGGGAGTTCAGGAGGAGTCTTGGGAGGACGGCGGGCCGGGGCAGGGCGGTCTGGGCCACCTGGAGACGCCCCTTCTTTTAATCTTAAAAAGGGACCCGCCGGAAGGCACAGGAAAGCGAAGCGAGCTGTCAACGTTCACACAGCAGAGGGATCTTCATCATCTTCTACCTTCTTAAGCGCAAGCTCCCAGGCCGGAAGCCTAAGGGGCTGCCCCGCCACCGGCAACCGTTCGGGCGCCTCGCAGGCCCAGCGCGCCAGACTCCAGCAATTCCCCGCCCCCGAGCGAACCCAGAGCCGCACACGTCCGACTCGACTCTACCTTTGTGTCTGCTCAGCTCTGAGTCCGCAGCTCCGGGAATCCCAACAGCGAGGTACACAGCCCTCGAACCCACCCGCAACACACGCCGCCTTCCTAAGAACCGCGAGCCGGAAATGGAATAGGCACCGGAAGTAACGCTACCACGCTCCTTAATCGAGCGCCGGCAGGTCGAGAAGCCGAGCGCCAATTAGATCGATGCCCCCTCTTCTGGAGAACGCAGCTAGGGCTCTCTCTGCGCGTGCGCACATGGCGGGCCGGAAGAAGTGGCGGGAAAGGGGACCAGGGAAGGAAAAAAGGAAATGTGTGCTGAAAGTGGGAACCCGGGATCATACTGTGAGGGACAAGGGGCAGTGAATCATTTCCATTACCACGACCTTAGCAGTTTAATCCAGACAACAATGCCTTCCATCTGTCTAAATCCTGCATAATCTATGCTTTGTTTTTATTTATTTATTTTTGCTGTACTGAGGATTGAACACGGTGTTACCGTCTCAGTGTTACCTCTCCAGCCCGTTTTTCATTTTTTGTTTGGAGACAGAGTCTCACTAAGTTGCCTTGGCTGGGCTCAAACTTGCCTCTCCAAGTGCTGGGATCATAGGCTTCTGCCACCAGCCCTAGCTCCAAATCCTATATAATTTCACAGCAGTTCCTCACGCTGACAATGTGGATAGGTGGTGCCCAGTTTGACACCATCTTGAGGAGAGCTAGTGCCCTTTCAGCCAAGTCTCTGACTCCTGGACTCAGGGTTCTCTCCTCCAGTACTCTGCTGCTCTGTTTGAATCTCAAGCAGTCCAGTTTGAGACCCCAAAGCAAAGAGAAATGGCGTCAGTACCTGATTCTCTCATCATCTTAAGAGCATCATCCTGGGATCATCATGCTTCATCATCCTAAGATGATGTGCCTAACTCATTCAGAAAACAGTAACTCCATGCCACCTTCCCACTCCCCTCAAACAAAATGAGTAAAGAAAGGAATTAGTGTTTATATCAAAATGAGGGAGAATTCTTAAAACAGTACACATTCATCTACTTATCTATTCATCAGACATGTGTAAGGCATGTTCGTTTTTAAGAGCCAGAGGGAAGCTCATCTATGTTCTCGCCTTAACTAATCTCTCTGACCCTCACTTTCGACTGTGAAATAAATAGGCATCTCAGTAGTACCTCCTAGCTACTGGGAGATCTCAGGAGATGACTGTAAAGAGTTGTCACATGACCAGATGGAAAATACATAGTTCACAAATGTTATTTCCAAATGCTAGCTCTGACTTAGATGTACAGATAAAGGATAAAGGGGGGTAGGGGCCAAACAAGTTGGTTTTATCAGTTGGGGATTCTTATTACAAAAGCTAAACTTGAAAATTATGCCTTGAGGGTGGGGATTTTTGTCTGCTTTCTTTACTCGAGTACCCTCAGTAATTAGAAAAATGACTTATAAATATATATTAAATGAATGAATGGAAAATTGGGCAATACTAAAGCAAATTTGCTCTTTTATAAAGGTGCATGTAAGTGTTGGAAATAAAATTAAATGATTACATGAAAACATTCTTATATAGGTATAAAAACTAGAAGGAATGTATGTGGTCCTATCTCAGTTAAAGAGTTAAGAGTATCAACAATTCAAAAGAGAATATGAAGTAAATATAAAATAATTTCTAAATAACAAAGTACAAGCTGTCCTTCAGTATAGACATCTGAGCAATGAATTAATTCATTTTGATAATGAGAATGACTAAAAATTTTCTGGAAATAAATTGCCCTCTAACAGTATTACATGAATGGATCTGGCCAAGGGTTCATAATTGTTAGAAGAAGTGAACTGTACATCCATGCAGCAATACTCCAGCTGGAAAGAAAACACCACAGGAACTGCAGAAGCTGAAGAGAGACCATATCCTGTTCCACGAACAACTAAATTATAGTTCCTGTACATTACACTGTGAGAAGGAAGTCACCCAATGCCAACTCAGTGGTAATGGTCTGCAGTCTGCTTTCCAGGTTCTAAAAAGAGCCAGTGCATTTTCTTGTCCTTGAGCAGTCACTCTGGGGCTGCCTGATAGTCTGTTAATGGTCCTCCTGTAATAGGAGGCCAGGGCACAATAATGTGGCTGGAGCAGGTGGGCATAGGCTGCCAGCGGAGGAGACTTAACAACCATGGGCAACAGAGCACAGCACCTGAGCCTGACATGGGATCAGGCTGAGGCCTGCATCTGGTACCAGTCTTCTACCATGAGAACATGCCAAACCTGGTAGCTGATATCAATCTTGTAGCAGGAGCTAAAATGCACAACTTGGATCAGCTATCAAAGAAGACATAAAAGGATGGCAGCAACTGACTTTCTGGCCACTGGTCTCTTGTTCTTGCAGTGGTCTATTCTGCTTGCAGGATGCTTCTTCTTCTTCTTCTTCTTCTTTTTCAAAGCATCCTCTTCTCCCTGAGCACTGCTTTTGTGCTTCTTCTCCTTTTTCTTTTCATTTTATTTCAGCCCTAAGATAAGCAGTAATGTTTCACATCCACCAATTGTCCTGAACAATTCACTGATTGGGATAAATAATAACCTAGAGAGCACTGTCTTGTAACACTCCGTAGATTGCCGAATGATTTAGAGAAACCAGTAATTGAAAACAGGGCTAGAAGGGAATGGAGAGAAGAGCTTATCTGGTCTTATGAGAAGCTGTGCATGCTCTGATTACATATCTATATAATATTGTCTTATAGCATATAAGGTCTGGTCACAGGTACTGTAAAACAGCTAGCATTCCCTTGTACCTAAATTCTCTATAGTCTCTGACCTCTTGCCAGTCAAACTAGGTCAAAAACTCATGTTTTAAAAAATGATAGAAGAGCAAATGTGTTTCCCTGAAGTTCTGATCAGTGGAGACTCATACTTTGGTTAGGTAATGTGATTTATATTTCTATCAAACAGGTATTTTTTATTGCACTAAACTGAGAGCAGCACTATAACCACTGTATCCAGCCTCATGTATCTCCTGATGATAAACTTGCTTATTTTAGAGGCAACAGAAAAATTACTACAACTGCTTGGGAATAAAACTGTGTCAAGATGTCTACATTATATAGATGATAACTGAGCTGTTTCTCAGTTCCTCTGAATACACATATATTTTCCTACCTTATCTACATGTGTTTTATGTTTCTCATTAAATGCTTTCAGCAGCTTGCTGCAGTGGATTTGAGAAAGGGCCATGTATAAATGAAAACATATCATAAAACCATGGTGGATATATTTTCTCTTATTTATGTTTGAGCCACAAAATGTATGGCAATTTGTTTGCATTTCTTTTTCTCCCCAGGTGGTGATTACATTAAGAAATTTATGTAGAGTGAAATTATTTTCACTACAAGCATTAAACAATCCTAAGCATTATTGTTGAGCTCCAAATCAAGTTTACATTTTCTCAGGTGATAGGAATTACTTGGCTAAGCCTTTCTAAAAAGCAGCTCTCTCACCCCCTTTCAGGCAGGAAATAATTTTGTGCAGTTAATTTCCTTTTATTCACTTCAGTCTATTTTAGTCTTTGTAAAAGTATTTGTAGAGATGCATATTACTGTGTAAATGTTAACAGTAAAGTGTCATTCATATACTCCCAAATCATAACCTAAGGATGGGTGGAATATGAGATAGGCTATAATTCTGTATATGTTCTGTAAAGTTTGGAAGAAGTTTGCATTTGAGTGCCTGATAACCTACCTAAAGAAGTGTGAAGGAAAACCTAAATTTTGTATAGTTCAGTACTGTGAGATATATAGTTCTGCTCAATATAACATTGTCCTCTCTGGAAGTCAGCTAAAATAGCATCACCTACCTGCCATTCCCTTAAGACACTAGAAAAATAAGATGCCAATCCCAGGAGACCCACCTAACAAGCAAAATGTTATGTAGATGAAATTCTTACAGCAGGTTTTGCTTCTTTGAGTCACCAGTGTAAAAAAAAAAAAATTTTTTTTTTTAGTTTTAAGCCCTATGGTATTTGAAAATGCAAATTTAAAAAATGAAACTATTTAAGAATATTGGTCCCATATTGTGTAAATTCAAGCATAGCATATCATTGGCATCACAGGCATATCCCAGAAGTCCTAATCCAGTGTTTTGCAAATATTAATGCACATTTGGTACTTCTGGAAAGTTTGCTAAAATAAAATTTTGACTTGTCAGGCCTGGGATGAGACCTGAAAAGCTGCATTTATAAGAACTTTTCAGGTAATGCTGATGCTGCAGGCCATTCACATTTTAGGTACCAAGACCCTCAGCATTGCCAGGAAGAAGGATCATAAATTTGAGCACAGCATGGGCAACTTAGTAAGACCCTAGGGGTGGGAATGTAGCTCACTGGTAGAACATTTGTCTAGTATATACAAGGTCCTCACTTCAATTCCCAGTACCTTCAAAAACTCTTTGAGATGGGCATAGTGGTACATGCCTGTGACCCCAGCACTTAGGAAGCTGAATCAGGAGGATTACAGCAAGTTCAAGGCCATCTTGGGCTACATAGTGAGTTCAAACCTAGCCTGAACTACATATTGAGATGCTGTCTCAGAAAATAAATAAATACATTAATTAGTTAAAAATGTTTAAATATAAGGTAGATTACCCCAGTATCACATAATAGTTGGCCCTAGGGACAAAGAGATACTATCAAATTCTGAATAGTTATCTTAGTCAATTTTCTGTTACTGAAACAAAATACCTGAGGTTAAATTTTCTAAAGATGAGAAACATAGTAGGCTAACTCTTCTGGAGCCTGGGAGCTACAGGAATAGGGCACAGGCATCTACCCACATCTGGTGAGTGTTTTCTTCCTACATCATGATATAGCAGAGGGTAACAGCTGGTGAGGAGGAGCTAGTAAGCCAGAGAGAGCTCACTTTTACAGCAGAACCACTGCCATGATAACTCATTAATCCATTGATCCGTGGATGGATTAATCCATAACCTCTAAACCAATGACCCTTCTGCACAACACTGGACCAAGGTTCCATATGAGTTTTAGAAGGGGTAAGCCATGTCCAAACCTTACCAGTCACATTCTTAAGCAAACAAAAATGAACTGTTGATTTCCAAGGAGATGCTATTTATTTGATAGTTTCCTTTAAATGCCTTCTCTGGGC